GGTGGGTCATTCGGGCTCTCTCTACTCGTGAACAAATGTTCACCACACAGTCTGCACATCAATATCTGCCGACTGCTGCTCTGAAACTGTAGATTTCTGTGGTAAATGCATGTACCATGTATGAACGAGTACTCTGTTTTATTCCGAGTACGATTATGTTTGAAAAAACCGAGCGAGTACTCGAGTATTCGGTATAATTGTTTCACCCCTACGCTATACTGTCCCACTAACACCACCAGTTACTAAACAATCAGCTCATGCGATAACATTGCACGACACTGACCGACGGTCCTGACGTTCTACAACTAACTGGCCAACAACAGCTCTAGCACATCTTGGATCCGTCGCTCAGTGTCGTGCAATGTTATCGCATGAGCTGATTGTAAAGTAACTGGTGGTGTTAGTGGAACAGTATAGCGTAACTTGTAGTTCCTTGGTCCTTTCTCTTTTGTATAACTTAATCCTTGGCTCTCCATCCGAGTCCACTACCGTATAAGCACTAAGTTTCGTTTGGAATTAACTTTCGCTATATTCGTTAGGGGGCACGAAATAACTAAAGTTTGTACCCCAAACGAATTTTTTCTTCTTCTGAACGCTCGGGGAGACAGACCTCGATCAAAAACGAAATTTAGTACGTAACGGACCTGCTGGTGGAGTGATGTAACGAAAGGTTTCGTAAACGAAAATTTGTACTTATACAGAGAGAGAGACCGCTAGAGTCGGCACTGCACTCAAGCACACAACAGTAGTAGCCAGTCAAAACAACAGTCCCACAGAGGTCAGTCACAGAGGAGCAGGGGCAAGATAGCTCACCGAACGGGTTGGTGGGCCCGAACACGTGCGAGATATGACTCAGCGTCGGCGTGACTTGCGGTCGCTTGTTGAAATAGTCAGTGTTGCTAACATCCGTGTACGCATACATACGCACACATACACACACACACACACACACACACACACGCACGCACACACATACACACACACGTACACACACACACGCACACACACACACACACACACACACACACACACACATACACACACACACGTACACACACACACACACACGCACAAAAGCACATACAAGGGCAAGTATGAGCAAGGCCACTTCTGGTCAGAACTATTTCAACATTCGTTGAGATTCTAACACATGTGGATTACAGGTAGCAAGGAAGCCAAGATTACAGCCAGAACAAGAGTGGGAGAGGATCACTGGACCCAAATGGTGCTGTTTTTTTACCGCCATTTAGGCCGCTACTTTCAACGACATGAATAAGCAACCGACCGACTTCCATTCCATGACATTGTATTTATTCACCGGCTACTGGAACCCGCCATGAACACGGTTTTCAGAGGATCTGAGTGATGGTGGGACGCAATGACTCATATAATACTGTTTTCTCGTTATAGAAAGGTGGCATTCGCAGTCTGAAGGGCGGCGTGTTCATTTTGAAAGGGGGCAGTCAAAAAGTGAAGGAGGGCGCAGCGCCCCGCTATGTCGCCTTGGTGAGAATCCTGGCAGCAGCAAGATCTACATTCGCTAGATCAGATTACTCACTTGAACTTCAGCACTACCTTGTCCATATTATACACCTCAATCCGCTGCACAGGTTGAAGGGAAACGCGCATGTGGCAAGCACACACACAGACACACACACACGAACACACACACATGCATACACACGAACACACACACACACACGCACGCACATACACACACACACACACACACACACACACACACACACACGCACGCACGCACACGCACGCACCAGTGACGTGCACAATTATTTCAGTAGGAAAGACCAAAGGATATGCTCAGCTATACTCCAGTAAGGTACAGTACTAGTATATGCACAGTTGTCATGTGTGAGGCAATGGCTTGCTACACGAACACCAGTAACAGCCGACAAATTCCCTACCCGTAGCCGTTGAGCCCGAGGGCAGAAGAATAACGCGATGCCATCATTCACCAAATCCAGCACCATGTCATCCAGGAGCGGGTTCTGCAGCAGGTTACAAGCCACGTGCGTCCAACAGATACATATGCACACACATACACGCACACACACACACACACACACACACACACACACACAAACACACACACACGCGCGAACACACACATGCATGCACACACACACTGGCTCGTTAGGGCAAAGAGAACCGGATTCAGCCCAGATGTGACAGGTCTTGGATTAATCATCATGGCACGATCATGCCAAATAAATATGAACATCAGTACCACCAGCACCACACAAGCAGCAGCAGCTGCAGCACCAGCACCATCATCACCGCCACCAGCACCAGCTCCACCAGCACCAGCACCGTCACCAGCACCACCACCGTCACCAGCACCAGCACCACCAGCACCACCACCATTACCACCACCACCAGCAGCAGCTGGAAAAGACACAAAAGTGAGTTGGTATCAAACAGCAAGTGCTTACCTGCGCATTGTAAATAAACTTAACATTTCCAATGGTTGTAGCCTGGCTCTTCAATATGGCTACAATTTGAGCAAAGTGCATGCCTGGACAAGACCAGATAAACAAACACAAAGAACGAAAGCATGAAACGAAGGACGGAGGCAAAATAGTCTTAATTCAACTGTGTACTATTATGCATGTACTAAAGTTATCTTGCACAGCCAGCCAATAAGACACAATTATTTGTATTGAACGTTTTCGTTCCCTTCTTGTCAAAATACTACAGGGAATGATGAAACGTTCAATACAAATGAGTGTGACTCCTTGGCTGGTTGTGCGAGATAGCTTTAATGCATGCGTATAGTATACGCTAGATTAACGAAAGCATGCTCAGGAAAATGGCCAGTACTGCCCGTACAATGAACTGCCGGCTGGGCTGGACTATCGCCGGCTGGTCTTCAACGGCAGGACCGGCGGAAGCAGTTTTTGATTGGTCCGGACGTGCCCTATGTAGTCTTTCATACTTTACTGTACAGGTGGAATCCTGATAATTCGAACCTCGAAATGCCAGGAAAAACTTCTAATTATCCGGACATTCTAATTATCCAAACATGAACCCACAACACAATATGTATGTCAAAATGCTCCCATGTTCACGCAGAGTTGCGCTATGGACCTTAGACACAGATTTCACGGATACTGAACTGACCGGCACAGCCTGCTCATGCAAACTGAACTGACCAGTACAGTGTACAGTGAACGTCGAATTACACTTTGCCAACTTCGAATTATCAGCACAGATCCCACATATTTTCTATGTAACTGGAATCCGTGGAATTTCTAATTAACCGGCTAGCTCCTCACAATCAGCCAATTAAATTGTGGTGAAAAAGGAGGACAAAATGTTACGAGTTATGACTACCGTATTTTCCCCAATAAATGCACAATACTTCTATTTTTTCAAAGGTGGTCAGACCTGTACTACTACAGTGGAGTCGCATGCCCAAGAACGTTGTTTCCAAGGGGCTAGCCTGGGACGTTCTTATTTTTTCAGCAATCTCGCTGCGTTCTTATAACACGTTCTTAGAAACAATCCGTACTGGATCATATGTATCACACAAGCTGCCAGAAGACCAACACGGCCGTTCTTAGCTTAAGCCTGTGGCGTTCTTAGTATTTCAGACTGGACGTTCTTGGGCTCCACGTTCTTCAGCGCGCGACTCTACTGTATAGGAGGCTGTACTAGTATTGGAGACGTGTACTTTTATTGTTTCTGGAAAGATTGATTGTCTGGGTTGGGTGACAAACAACTCGTGATAATGATACTGTAAGGCTGTAAATACAACCAACCATGGTAAGAAACAGTGTAGAAAGTCACAAAGATGATAAACGGGTAAGAAAAGCGAGGTAAGGTGGACCCTGGTACACTACCTGTACCCCAGTAATTTCCATCACATCATTCCGGCATGTACTAGCAAGAGTACATAATCCCCCAGAGTGTGCAACGCCGATCCAGCTCTGTATAGGGTCTTGGTCGAGCGGAATCGGATCTTCTGATGTCATGCGTACACTCCGCACCAGCGCAAGGCCGGTCTCGAGGCAGGGCACCGTTGTTTTTGATCCAAGACTACCCGCGACTCCCCGGGTTCCCCTCAGATGTGTACGGTATTATGACGCAAAGATCCGATTCCGCTCGACCAAGACCCTATGCAGAGCTGGATCAGGCGTTGCACACTCTGGGGGTTATGTACTCTTGGTACTAGTATTAAGAGACGTGTACTTTTATATTTTTAGATCCACTCTCAACATGTATTACAATTGGAGACGTGTACGTTTAATGGGGAAAATACGGTAGCTGTCCACCAACGTAACCAGATCTTATACAGTCAGTTTTGTCAGGTGTGTGCCATTTTGTCGCACTCGCTGACTGTATAAGGTTTTATACAGTCAGTTTTGTGCCATTTTGTCGCACTTGCTGACTGTATAAGATCTTATACAGTCAGTTTTGTCAGTTTTGTGCCATTTTGTCACACTCGCTGACTGTATAAGACCTGGTTACGTTGGTGGACAGTTAGTCACAACTCGTAAGTAGTGGTGAAACGAATATTCGAATATTCGAACATTCGTTCGGTTTGTCACATTCGAATATTCGTTAAGTCACATTCGAGTATTCGTTACGTCACTTCGAATGCAGTGCCTGTACATACATGGACGCCGAACACGGTACAGTGCAGTGCGTACAGCCTGCCTGTGACTTTGTACTGCGTGCATGCACATGTATGTCCATACTGGACTGCCAATGTTGCACATAACATTTATGAACTTCGAAGTAGCCTTATATGGCATTATATTCTACGTGGCACTACCGTTTGTCATACCTAATAATATATTAGTATTGACAATATCCATCAAATGACTGAGAGGAGGGCATGTGATGTCATCTGTGTTACCAAAAGAATATTCGTTCATTCGTTCGTTAAGCTGAAGAATATTCGACTAGTAGGTTTTGCCATTTGTTTCACCACTACTCGTAAGTATTATTGACTGTTATATCTTTATTTGGCTTCACCATAGGTGCAGGCATTGCTGCCTTCTTGCTGTGGATCATGAAGATGCCACAGCTCCTAGGCTATGAGGAAATATATACCTACATATATTATACCGTAGAATCCCGCGGATAAGCCCATGGGCTTATCTGTTTCACAAGGACATTTCGGTGGGCTTATACGAGAACATGGGCTTATACGCGGACATGGGTACGCCGACACCAAGTTGTGCTATTGAAAAGTATCAAGGAAGTGTGAAGTACATTGCTGAAAACCACTGTGCAAACAAAAACAACCCATGATTGTGCTGAAATGTACCAAAAAAACTATAATGTGCATGACTACGTACATGTACATGGTATGGCCAATACTGGCAATAGTCCATAATTTATGGACTCCCGGTATGACCTAGGCCCATGGGCTTGTACGATGAAGCTGTGTGATGTTCGAACAAACCCTGGGCTTATGCGCGGGCATGGGCTTATACGCGGGTGGGCTTATCCGCGGGATTCCACGGTAATTCATTATAGTTGAGGGAATGGAAAAGGGAAAAAATATATTACTGAGCTTATCATACCCAGTGAGATTGATTAGCTGAACGTGGCATGCTTAGCACTTGTCTACTCTTGGCTTGCAAAGTACAGTCTTGAGAGGTGAAAGCACACCGACAACGGTACGTTCATCTAAGCAGTCTCATTTTGCTATTATTAGGTTCAGGCTACATGAAATTTACAAGAAGAATTTTCAAATGAAAGGAGCTACATACATGTAATCGACAGCGCAAAAGATTGGCCGGGTTCAGAAAGTGTTCACGTACCCAGAACGAACTCCCATTGGTCATCGCCGATCAATTGCTCTGGGACTACGTGAAGCTCCAGCATCTTTCGCACACCGGTTTCGTTGACAGACAGCAAAGACGTTCCCACTCTCGCTGCGCCAGGCCGGACGGGAGAAGAGGGCATTCACGCCGATGAAAACACATACATTTAGCACGTCTGCTCGCCCACCTACAAGTACATGGCTTCACAGCATCAATATTTCATGGAGAGGGCTTCACGCTGTACACTGTGCATGTGGAAGAGTTTGCAAAATGTCAGACGAGAGAGAGAGAGAGAGCTACAGAGTTGGTTTCTTTTCTGTTTCTTTTTCTGTGGCATCGATCGACCAGATATCAGATCGACGCTGTCGACATTTCTGATCGTGTTGGTGATTATGACATCATGCGTACATGGAATCGTTTTCAAAATTTCAAACACGTCATGAATAATTTTGAAATGACGTAGGCAATGGCTGCCAAAAATGCCAATGGCCAACACACACTACAAACGCATAATACGACCGGTACTTCAACAAGACAACAAATCTTGTTTTTATAATATCCAGCTTTTGCATTCCTCTTGTTCAGTAAAACAAACCTTTCTGAAAGCTGGTGGTAGTCCAGGCGAGCAACAGAGGCACATTCGCGCTGGTAGGAGTATACTAGTAGTAAGAACCCCGGACCTCTGCTGTTTCTGCCCAGCCTTTAGGCTTTAGTGGTGCGTTCGTACCCCCTTCATTTTTCTCCTCTCTGTGTTTGTGAATCCACGAACAAGCACAGTCAAGATGGGGGGAGGCGACTTGAACATGAAAAAGAGCTTCCACCCGCTCACCATGGCCAACCTGGAGCGGGTGTTCAATGCCGAGCTGAAGCGCGACACGGAGCTGAAGAAGGTCGAGCAGCTGCGGCGTGAGATCGCCGAGGAGCGGCAGCGCGAGGAGCTCCACAAGCACGCCGTGGACACTGGCGTCATCAAAGGCAAGGCGGCGCGCCTGGACTGGATGTACGCCGGCCCGGGCACGGCCAGCGCCGGCGCCGAGCGTGAGGAGTACCTGCTGGGCAAGAAGATCGACAAGGACGTCGACCCACTGCAGCAGGACACCACGGAGAAGACCGATGCCACGGCCGTCGCCTCGTCCATCTTCACCGACGCTACGATGTCCGGTGCAAACTCGCAGCGCGACATGGCCGCCAAGATCCGCGAAGACCCGCTGTTCGCTATCAAGAAGCAGGAAGAGCAGGCGCGAAAGAACCTGCTGAACAACCCGGTGCGGATGAAACAGCTACAGCAGATGCTGCGACAGCAGACCGGGGATGGTAGTGATAGCAGTAGCAGTGATGATGACAGCGATCGGTCTCCATCGCCGGCGGCGCCGCGCAGTGGCAGGGCACCGCCGCAACAGCGCTCACGTCACCGTCAGCGTTCCCCGTCGCCACGGCGACGCCGAGACGGGCGCGAGCGTTCCCGGTCACCTAGGGAGCGACGCCAACGACACGATCGATCTCGCTCGCCGCAGCGCGGTGCAAGGGCGTCGCGACACGGATACGACGATTCGAAGGACAGGTCCACACACCACCGTCATCGTCGGTCTGAGCAATCACCGGAGCGTCAGTCACACAGGTAAGATACAGAGTTCCAATACCAAAACTCTCTGAGGGCACCAGCCAAGCTATGTGTTTCACTGAAACGTTTTTGAGGGCGGCGGGAATGGTAGTAGGTGATTCCCCTTCCAGGCGAATCTGCAGGTGACCTGACAGGCACGACACTCAAACGTGAGCATTTGATTCACACGGGAAAAGCGGCGAAAGCCTTGATGTCGGCGGCGATGGTTATGGCCTGCCTCCATGGCCCAACGGCCGACGCCCCCTGAAATCCCCAAACCCTGGGTGGACTGGGGACATAATCCCAGTTATGGTCTCACCACACCTCGGTGAGTGGTTGAGGAAAAGGTGCAGAAAAAGGATTGACGGCATCAGGGTATCCGTCCCGGGATCCGACTGCATTTTTACCGTATTTCCCGGAGTATAGCCGCACTTTGAACACTCAAAATTGACCCCAAAAAAGTGGTGCAGCTTATACTCCGATGATCAAATTGACGGTGACCAACAGGGTGGATGGCGGTATTCCGTGGAAAAAATTGGGGTGCGGCTTATACTCCAGTGCGGATTATGCTCCGGAAAATACGGTACCCCCCCCCCCCCCCCCCACACACACACACAGGCAGATGTGGAGGCCCTGAGCAATAGTGCTGCACACATTTTCTGCCGCACTTTCGCTGCTTCTTTTAAAAGTTTCATGGGAGTAGAGAACGGGTCAGGTGGACAGACACACACAGGCAGATGTGGAGGCCCTGAGCAATAGTGCTGCACACATTTTCTGCTGCACTTTCGCTGCTTCTTTTAAAAGTTTCATGGGAGTAGAGAACGGGTCAGGTGGACAGACACACACAGGCAGATGTGGAGGCCCTGAGCAATAGTGCTGCACACATTTTCTGCCGCACTTTCGCTGCTTCTTTTAAAAGTTTCATGGGAGTAGAGAACGGGTCAGGTGGACAGACCCATTCCGAAAAGACTCTTTGTGTACAAATCCGAAGCAGCGATTCAGTGTTTGTATCCGATGAGGCCTACCGTAATGTCGCGTATAAAAGCAGGTGCTTATGGCCGTATAAGCCTGGGTTCAAACTTCAAACCATGCTTCTATTCAAGTTATGCTTCTGTTCGAAACATGCTTCGACATCAACATCATCAGTCTGCACTGTGCAGTGCATACTGCCACGCATGTGCTCGCACATGTACTTTACAGGGAGCGGCTTCTATTCGAACCATGCTTCTGTGTTACGGCGCGCTTCAAAAAAATCGCCTTCTATTCGAGTCATGCTTTTATACGCAACACCACGGTACGTTAACCCTTAGCCGGCCGACAAAGTGGACGAATTCTCAGTCCCAGCGGCACGCCGCGACCAATTTTGATGATAACTTTTTAGTTTCCCTTGGGTGAAATAATAATATTATTAATTATTGTCGATCTTGGGCTTTCTGGAAAGCTTGAGCCATGAGGGGCTCTCTAGCAACAGTTTCTAGCCTTCATTTTTACTTCAAGTAAGAGGAACCAAAATCCATCCACAACTCAAATTTTTGAAGAGAAGTGCGGCTCATTGATGTGTTAACTATTTTGTTGTCTCAAATTTGTACTTTCGTGCTGACAAATTTTGAGTATACAATTAAGGAGAGCCCCCAGGAAAGGTTTTGGAGGGCAACATAATCCTGGCCAAAATTACACCATGTGGAAACTTGTTTCGTATGCGGTGTGAAAACAGACCTCATTCGGAGTCCTAGAACTTCTCATTCGATCATGATAAGATTCTCCGTTTTTTTGCAACTGAATGATGGGCCTTTCCTGTCTCTTTTGAGACCACAATTGTGCAGATTCGATAAAAAAATGAGTGGGTTTCAGCTTGTTAAAGTCATCGATGGATAGTCGTCGATTTTTGACTACTGTACAGGCAGAAAATTTCGTCGGTCAAAAATTTCGTCCAACTTCCAAGAAAGGGAGTTCGTCCGGTTGAAAATTTCGTCCATGGATCATAAGAGTGTATTGAAAAGCTGGACAAATCGACATTAGTCCGGCATTTAATTTAGTCCAAAAGCTCCTTGGACGAAAAAGACGAAATTAAATTCCAGACGAATATTTCTGCTTGTACAGTATCTGGTCGAACAAGGGTTAAACATCTGGTTTGAATTTGGACTGTCTTGTGTGGGTCTACCTGACCAGTCCTCTTCTGGACAAGGTGTGTACAATATTTAAAAAACGATTTGTGTGTGTGTGTGTGTGAAATGTACCCACTCTACACATGCAGATCTCGTTCGCCGCAGCGCAGTGCAAGGGCGTCGCGACACGGATACGACGATTCGAAGGACAGGTCCACACACCACCGTCAACGCCAGTCTGAGCCATCGCCGCAGCGTCAGCCACACAGGTAAGGCACAGGGTTTGAAAACTCATATGGATCGAAAGCGGAATCCTGTTGTGTCAGGACAGTTTCCGCTACACCAAGGCCAGGGCAGCCTTTACTGTACAGCTGTACTCGCCATCAGCCATGACATGCACACACCACACGGCATGCTACTACTGTGCCTAATCGTGCACTCTGGCACTCGTTTCTACCCGATGATCCGCTCAAATCATGGGTAGCACGGGAACCATGGGTTTCATTAATGAAATGACATTTGAAGTATGTTTTGCAAAAATGAAGGAATAAGTACTATGCTAACAAACTTACAGCCCAGCAGGAAGGGCGAATAAGTAAATTTAGATTAAAATTTCTGTGTGGGCTTTGACTTTTATGGCATGGCGTAGTGGGTGAGTCATTTTGCATCTAAAATAGCTAGGAAAGCAGCGCTGACATACGGTAAGCGAATTGTGTGTGAAATGTACCCACTCTACACATGCAGATCTCGTTCGCCGCAGCGCAGTGCAAGGACATCACGCCACGAATATGATGATTCGAAGGACAGGTCCACACACCACCGTCAACGTCAGTCTGCGCAATCACCGGAGCGTCAGTCACACAGGTAAGACCAAGAGTACATAACCCCCCAGAGTGTGCAACTCCCACATACCCTGTTGTCCCGACAGAATTTCAAGTTGACGTCATTATTTATGACGGAATGCTCCTTGCAGCAGTGATTTACAACATGTGTACGGGTGTCAACGCATCACACGTTTTTCTTTGCAATAATTTGTACAGGATCGATCGGCTTCGGTCAACCACAGGTTCCGGATTCGTCTGATAATCCGTGTACAGTGCGCATTGCATCATCAAAATGACGTCAACTTGAAATTCTGTCGGGACAGCACCCATAGTGGAGTTGCACACTCTGGGGGGTTATGTACTCTTGGTAAGACGCAGGGTTCCAGTACCAAAACTCTCTGAGGGCACCGGGCAGGCTGTAAGTGTTTGACTGAAACGCTTTGAGGGCAACGGGGATGATTGATTTTTATTCAAGGATTGCCCAAAGGCTGCGGGAGCATATCGAGTGGCTCTCCTGTATTGGTTACTACTGTGTAGGCAAAAATATTCGTCTGGAATTTAATTTCGTCTTTTTCGTCCAAGGAGCTGTGGGACTAAATTAAATGCCGGGCTAATGTCGATTTGTCCAGCTTTTCAATACACTCTTATGATGATCCATGGACGAAATTTTCAACCGGATGAACTCCCTTTCTTTGGAGTTGGACGAAATTATTGACCGGCGAATTTTCTGCCTCTACAGTATCAGCTTTCTTGGCCGGCATGTTAGTTTTTAGTTGACTGGCGGTAGCCCAGGGTGTGAGTACAGACAGTGAGTACTACAGTCAGGGGTGGGGGTCACGAAGGTTTTATTGAGATGCCACGAACAAATTCTAGAGAAAGAGTCTCTCTTACATGTATTTCTTTGTCCATCGCCACTTTCTCTAGAATTTGTTCGTGATATCTCAATAAAACCTTCGTGAAATGACGCTTCAGCTGGTTCTGTTTATTGCGATCCGTGAATAAGCTTTTCCTAAGCATCGAGGAGTCCTTTCTTCAGAGGTGTCGTGTGGCGGAGATTCCGCTGTAGGTCTACAAGATCAGTAATGTTTTATCAGCATGCAGTGTAGCTGAACCTTTTTTGTTCTGTGTGTGTGTGGGGGGGGGGGGGGGGGGGTCTGTGTATGTGTGTGTGTGAGAGTGTGTGGTGTGTGTGTGAGAGTGTGTATATATGTGTATATGTGTGTGTGTGAGGTCTCAGTCCTCATTTGTTAGACGTGTCTTTATAAAATGTAACTTACTCTCTCTCTCTCTGTCTCTCTCTCTCTCTCCCTTGATCTCGATCTCGATCTCGACAACCTGCTTGTTAAATCATGCACCTGCTGCCAGGCGTGAAACCCCTGTTGTAGAGGTCTCAGTCCTCATTTGTTAAACATACCTGTCTTTATAAATGTAGCTCACTCACTCTTTTTCTCTCAACATGTACAGACGCCAGGCGGAGACGAAACCGAAGCGTGCCGACCCGGAAGAGGCCGAGCGGAGAAGAAAGGAAATGATGGCTGCCGCAAAGGCACATCACAAGGAGCGCGACACACGCGTCCGCAAGCGCCAGCACGCCGCGGATCGCGAGGAAGCGGAGCTGCGAGGCCGAACGAAGAAACACGACGAGGACTTCTTCTTCCAGGTGAACTCGATGGCAGGTTCTAAAATAAAGTAGACGATCACTTTCTGTTTGAGTTTTATTGTTCGTCTTTGTAGATGTCTTTCCACCGGCGCTGGTTGCTGTGGGATCTTTTATACATTTTTTGTCCGAAAATTAGTTCGTCTAACATATTTTAAAACACTATGCTATTCATTCTCTAGCTTAGTGTTTGATTGGACGCGCAAGCACTAAACCATGACCTCATCAAAAACAACAATTTACGTTTGACGCAGTTCTACACTGCTCATGTACTGTTGAGGTGGGGTCGTTTGGCCCTGCCCCTGCCCCCCGCCCCGCCCCTTGAAAAACATTCACACTTTTCTAGTACTAACCGCAGCTGGACTACACGGCTAGTGTGAGCAACAATACCCTCACCGTCGATCCAGAACCGTACGGCACCATTTCCATTCATTCATCATTCATGAAAAGTCCATCCATGTTAGCTACGTCCAACCTACTCTGCTGCCATCCGCTTGATCTACTGGCCTACTCATGCATTATAATAATTATACCCGAAGTCTGTTTTTTTTAAATAATTTAGAATGGCAATGGGTGAAACGAGAGAGAGCTGCAGCTAGTGTAGGTGTACATACTTGAGTAAGTCTTCTTGAACATTCCATTGTATACTGTACCGGTACATTGTACTCTGATGTACAGTGGAACCTGTCTAAGACGACCGCTCAAGGGACCTTCACAACACGGTCTCTGTTACCAGGTGGTCTCCTTATCCAGGGTCATTTGACTGGAAATAGCATCCCTTGGTCTTGGTTTCAGTGGTCCTTTAGGACAGGTGGTCGCCTTGCCATGTTTTACTGCACCACGCATGGTGTGTAGACCCTGTGCGTACTGGGGAGTCAGTTCACATGGGTGGTTTCGCCAGCTAGGTGGACTGGGCACCGCTGCAGTGCTGCTCAACGAAACCCAGTCGAGTCGCTCGGGTACACGCCGGGCGTTGCACAGCCCCAGACCTGCGAACACTGGGCTGAGAAATGGTGCACGGCGCAGACTTGAGTGACGCGACTGGATTTCATTTAGCAGCACTGTACTACAGACAGTAGATCTACCTTTTTTTTTATTTTATTTTTTTACGTTAGTTAAACAGTAAACGTAAAAATTTAATGTTTGGCACCTATGAAGTCAGGGGATGGCCCACGCCTGGTAGAAAACAAAACAATGAGGAGTTAAATACAAAGAAAACGAGCTGAAAATACAAAAGTAAATGAAACACCATTACCAAAGAAACTGTACTGTATCATGTACACGACAGTAGATCTACCAGGCGCAAGTAATTTGCGTGCTTTTTTTTCCCGGCCGCTGACCCAGTTTGGGTACGGCTCTCCTGCTTGAAGCCAGCGTTTGCACCGAACTGAAGTGCATGAATGCACCAAAGATGTAGAGAGAGATCGAGAGTGATTGGCCACTGGAACAAATCAAGGACAACAAGATTGGTGTGCTGGGTTTGAGTGCATGAGTTTAGGGCCTATGGGGTGGCCAAAACAGGCTGGTCATCATGTACCGGTATAATGTGGTCAATTATCTGTACATGTATCTGTCATGGGCATAATCATTATAAACGTGTATAAGAATGATGAAGGAAGGAAAAGGACAAAATGTTACGAGTTATGACAAACTGTCCACCAACGTAACCAGATCTTATACACAGTCAGCGAGTGCGACAAAATGGCACGTTGGTGGACAGTTTGTCATAACTCGTAACATGCATGTTGTCCTTTTCCTTTCTTCATCATAACTATAATTATTGGCTCACCATCCGAGTTCAACTGTGTATAAGAATATTAGTACCAACAAGTCGTACGCAAACCATGCAGGTTTATGTATACGACTTCCAGGTTAGGGTGAACATGCAATACTAGTTCGGCACTTTTTGAAATTTCTTCACATGATGCAGCACGAAGTACAACTTTGTAGTGCGTGGCTGTATTATCTCATGAAGAGGTCATAAGCTCCTATTTTATGCTCGCTATCATGTACACTTTCCTTATACATTCTCATGGAACAAGAGCCATACACGCAGGCTTTATGCAAAATTTCTTGAAAACACGGAAAACGTCCGCAGAATCGTGTCATCCTATAGCGACGGTGTAATGACTCGCTGCGTACTGAGCCACATACGCTCGGCGATGAACTTTCTGATAGGAAGTAAACAGTGTTTTCGAAGAATGCGGACAGGGCTCCAGAAAACACATTCTATGATCAAGCTATGGTGTCACATCACCACAATTGTAGCGCAAACACTTTGAAAACACAGCACAAGCAGGGCTGCACCAGAACAGACTGAGGCGGATATGCGGATGACACTGACAGTGAATGGCTAGAAAAGAGACTAAGCAAAAAGTAAGCATACATTTCAGCAGGCGGTCACAAGACTGTGGTCTTTTGAAAAGTAGGAAAAGAGAATAATTTAGCAGCATACCGTAGTTCCGCGCATCTAAGCCCACGGGCCTGTACTCAGATATAAGCCCACCACCGTTTATAAGCCCATGGGCTAATAAACAGACACAAATACGACTCGCGTGTCAAGTAGAATTTTTCACAATCTGGACTCTTGCAACCATGGTACAGCAGGTCAGTGCAGTTTACCAGCACAGCACGGTAGACCCACATATGCCCACGGACTAACGGACGTCCGCCAATATGATGTTGAGTGGTTGCCGGTATACGGAGAGGACAGCTTGTAGCTCATCTCCTACTTCTCCTTCCAGCCGTACGAGTGAAGAACACGCTCCGTGGATTCCAGAGCACTGAGAATGCACACACACACACACACACACACACGTACACTGATGGTTAGACACAACCGTAGGTAAGCCTTTTGTTTCTTAGCTGCACTGATCATGAAAAGCATGACATTGTACAAGTACAAGTATGCCAGTATTTTAATCAGTAAGTATGAACGATCGAAGGTCGTTATTCGCCAGGTTGACTGTACATGTAACTGTACAGTCATGCATCTCACACCTCAGACCTCAGACATGCCCATCGCGGAAGCGATGATAGCGAACAGCTATGTTAGACATAGCAACTTGTACTGGGATTACACCATTCAACAGCTTGCAAGCCTGATGAATTGACCGCCACTAATTTTAGCCATGCACAGCTACTGTAAGTCAACAAATATTCGGGGCATATATATTTCCGGCCATTTTCGGCCTGGTCATGTTTGGCCGGAAATTTGTTGCGGCCGAAAATTTGTTTTCCAAGGTTCAGTGTGACAGTGTATACAGGCGGCAGCAGTACAAGCCGAAAATGTGATGCAGCCGAAATGGTTTTTAGCCCTGGGAGGCCGAAATTTGACTGGGCCGAAAATGAGTAGACTTACAGTAGCTAACAGTTGGCTGATGATGGCCACACAAGCAAGAACACTCTGAGTTGCAACAGATTCAGGGTGGACCCTTGTCTTTTTTCGTGTCAACGTTATATTGAAGATTCACTGATACGCTAGGGGAATGGGTGTGTCCACCCGAATTCCTTTCACTGATACACTGGCAAAAGAAATCGGAGCGGACATGGAGTACTAAGTTGCTGCTTTTAAATGAAACTCAGTCGAGTCTTTCAAGTACACGCTGTGCGTTGCGCAGCCCTAGACCTGCCAACACTGGGCTGTGAAATGGTGCAAGGCTCAAACTTGAGTGACGCGACTGGATTTCATTGAGCAGCATTGTAGCTGTACATGTATATATGTCCAGGTACACCGGTAGCAACTGAAATCCAACCCCCTGAGCGGTGAGTTCACATTCTAGGCGGTCTCTATTTCGTAGTGTTACAATGTGTTGGGTCTTTGCGATGTGAGCGCACCGCACCGCTCAGGGGGTCGGACTTCAGTTGCCAGCACTGCAGCTTACCACCCAGGTCGAATGATGCGATACACGCCCGTGTCCGACAAGTCAACCACCGTCGAGCCTTTCCTGGAGGGCTCCTCCTCACCACCACCACCGCTGCTGCTGGATGGCTGGATCACACCACCGTCTAGGACAACACCGAGCTGCGGCCACAAGTGACTGAATTCCTGCAAAAGACACGCAATAAAGATGCCAGCAAGAGTACTCTAATTTCAGAAATTTTCGGTGCTCAACAAAAGGCCAGGATAGATGAACAGAAAATAATTTTAGGTACAGAGAAGCAGTTCCCTATTGGATTATGTGTGATTATAAAGCTCCCAAGAGTGTGCAACTCCCAAACCCCTTTCTATGGGATTCGCCGACAGCAGGACACAGAGAGGCTAAGAGACTACTTAGCATCACAATACGTCGGCCAATGGAATGCTCAAAAGAGCTTTGCCAACTTACTTACATGTGCATACATCTATACAGTATGATGGCAGCTAGACATAATACTTGCTCGCTGTTTACCGAGATGGGGGCGTGTGAATCAGTTAGTGTCATGTCCTGGGGAAGCCTAGGAAGTGCTGGGCCTGGCGCCCAATTATAAAGTGCGTGTGTGTGTGTACATGTGTGTGTTTGTGTGTGTTTGTGTGTTTGTGTGTGTGTGTGTGTGTGTGTGTGTGTGGTGTGTGCGTCCTTGATTGGACACATACAGGACAGCCGTTGTATCGAGAGAGTTTTAGAGAGAGAGAGAGAGAGAGAGAGAGAGAGAGAGTGAGAGAGAGAGAGAGAGAGAGAAAGAGAGAGAGAGACAGGGACTGAAAGAGAGAGAGAGACAGACAGACAGAGACTGAGACAGATAGCGACTGACACACAGAGAGCCAAGCTGCTACACTGACGAGAACAGAACAACTGCTCACCTCGGCGCGCACACAGCTCGGCTCGGAGCTGATGTTTGCACTGGTCAGAGCCAGCGGCTCATTGGCGGCCTGCGCCAGGTGCCTGCTGAGCGGGTGGTCGGGCACGCGCACGCCCACGAGCGACGCTTCCGGGTTGAGCTCGGGGTTGAGACAGGGCCGGCGCTGCAACACCACGGTCACGGCACCGGGCAGCAGGGAATCCAGCAAGCCCTGCGGCAGGCCATCGCACACTGCATACCTGCGCACACGGCCAGTGTAGGAGAGAGAAGAGCGAGTATAGAAAGAGAAGAGAGGAACATTTACCTTCGGTGTGTACAGTAGGCTTAGTGGCCATCCGACATTATCGATAATTTTTACGACACGAAGAAGTTTAGTTATGAACTTAAGACCCTCCCCCACCCCCTCCAACGAAAAATAGATTGACTTGATAGCTAGAATAGATTGATGTTTCAGCTATCAGTAATTTTCAAAAGGAAACTCTCCTCAACCCACCCACCCATAAACGAAACTGTTTCTCTTTGTGAAAAAGATCGATAATTAGTACGGACGGTCCCTTACAGAACTGAGTGCCGAAGAACGACCAGGCTAGGATTTCGCTGAGCACAGCATACCAATAGTAGCAACACAGAATTTCGCACCTCATTCGTACCTATCATAGTATGGTATGCTGCTGGAGGGCCTTGCGCTTGTTGGGAAAGCTATGGATAACAATAGTGTAGGCGTCTTCAGTTCACACAGTTATACACCACTACTCAAAAACGGTCTCTCGGCTACAAATTCTTCCAAAGATAATAAAATCCAATGTTCCGGCCAGGCCCATTTTCCTGAGTGGTGGTGTATAACTGTGTGAAACATGAAGTGGCTACAGTGGAGTCTGCACACCCTTAGGAAGGCGCCTTCATTGTTCTGTCCCCTTGGGAAATCGCGATTCCGCGGCCGCGGCAAGTTTCGCGATTTTCGTGCGTTTCCGCGAATCTAGCAGTTTCCGTGGAAGACGTGCAATTCTCTTCATGACTCAATTTTCAGTGAATCCGTGAGCCCATGCCATGGCCCACACTGTACAGACGTTCATACATGGTGTGTTCTGTGAGCTTAGCTACAAGTCCATTCATTGGAAACAGTCCAGCTGGCATTTGAAAGTCCGATTTGGGCCGAATTGAGGATCAAAAACCCACTTTAAATCTCAAAAATCTGGGTTTGGGATCTGCTTCTTCACACATTTTGCCATGACAAACCTGTCCTAATTTTGTAAAACCTGGCTGAATTTCTATTTCCCTGTTCTTGGACTTTTCTGCCCTCAAATGTGGCAAGGAGTAATTGCATGGTTCACACAATGCAGGATGTACTGTTGTTTTCACGATATCTACAACTATGTGTGGGAGACACCAAAAAGTTAGGGTGCCAGTTTCCAATGAATGGACTGTAGTGTACTTGGTGTACGCGGAGTGCTTGGCTGTGAATGTTTGTCCCCAGGGCCGAACTTTGACATCGCCCTGTTCTTCGCGCTTCGAAATTCCTTGCTACAAAGTAGATCCTCCGTTCACGTTTTGTAGTCCATACCTATCATCGCAAGATACTGCAGTTTCCGCGAATTTACTATATCTGGCCCATATTTTTTCGCTCTTTTCTTGCGCAAATTTTGGAATTTTTCCCTGCGATTTTCCACAGGGACAGATCGTTAATAATCTGTTCATGATCCTCCAACGGTGCGGGGATTTTTCGGACCATCTCTTGCGAGTCATTGAGAATCGTGGAAAGTGAAAATAATGCTTTTCATAATGATGGTGTGAAATTTTGCAAACCATGCGAAACTGTTATCACTTCTTCAACGATCGAACCTGCTGAAACATTCACATGTGTTTCCCACCAGTACTTGTCTGTCTGTACAATCATGTACGAGTAATGGTGTAAATTCAAATGTCTTGAGCCACCTACTTGTTTATCTCGCTGACGTTTCCTACGCAGATGGCAATAGGCTTCTTTGCATCGCGCCGCTTGATGGCATAGAGCTGCCGTATGCCGCTGGTATTCTGCGCCAAGCACGACACGCCGTAGATGGTGTCGGTGGGAAACGCCACCACGTCTCCGCGCTGCAGGTGCGCCAGCGCAGTTTTCACACTGCTGTCCTCACCGGCCGATTTCATGTCCACAACTCGCTCCATCCTGACGGAGGTGCGAACTAATCTCACACAATGGCACGACAAGCTAGCAGTCTTCTGTCTTATAAAGAGCATACCATCACCGAAGTGACTCTTCTGCTTCAGTTGGACAAGAACAAAGCTGATTACTGGTGCATGGTATTGCCGGACTAATTATTTCTGCGATTGATGCAATATTTTGCTAGTTTGAATCGAATGTGAGTTTATGTTTGCTCTTTGTGGAGAGGGTATTCCCCGACGCCTCGGGAGCTTGGCTCTCGATTATTTTGACTGAGCGGAAAACGGGAGGGCGCAAACACGTCACTAGCGGCGCCGTAGTACAGCCGCATCATGCCACCGTACCACTTGCCACGCGGTGCCGATACCGGCCATTCAACAAGGAGCAGCGCAAAACCGTCCGATGTTGCGGGCGGAAAGACAGCAGCTGCTACAACTCCAACAAAACCGGTCCGTCAAAGCAAAAGGAGGTGTTCATCGCGTGTGTCCGAGGCGGCCCTCTTACCCTCGAGTTTTGATTCCATGAAGAGAGCTGCCGGCCGTTCTCCGGCTTCGGCAGACCTAGACGCGAGTATCCCTGGCGCTATGGACGTGGGCCAGAGGGAGAGAGAAGGTTCTCCGGCTCCACCATTCAAGCGAAGGTACCCACCGACGTCCACGGGTACAGGTGAGGAGTTATGCGCATTCGATATTCAAAATACATTAAAAAAAATCATTCATTTGCCTTTTGTGTTCACATGCATGGTGTTCGCATGTGTGGTCGTAACAATGTTCGTACAAATGAGCGTGGGTGTACGTAGAAACGAGCTGTTTGTGTAATGTCCGAACCATAGAAACGAAAGTGGTTCTTCTTGTTTGCCTCGCTAAACTAAAGTGGAAAGGAGCTCTGCTGCCGGAGACAGTCAATGCAGCATCGACAAGCAACTGCGTGTGTTTGTGTGGATTTCAGCCTTGTGAGGTTCGAACGCCATCAGGCATCATTCCCGCGTGGATGATGACATACGAACCCGCTTGACGTGTGGCTCGATCATGGCATCTCGTGACTGACCGCCCGAATGAATGAACTGAAAATGATTCCAGATGCTTCCACAAAAATAATAATCGCTGTTTGCACCTGAGCGCTCATGCTGCTGCAAACGACATAATCATTACGAATTTACGTGCACGAAAACGAGCTCGATGCTGCGAGAAGTAAACTGATTACAAACCCATACTACGTATTTGACTCTTGGTAACTTTGCGTCGAAAGGAAACGCAACGCAACCTAGTCATTCTCCGGTTCCTTCCGAGCGAGTGGAAAAGAGAGAAGCGGCGAGCGAGTGTGATGTTTCTGTTTCCGATCTCCTGTGGTTTTGTCCGAATATATTCTGTGTGTTCCGGCAGCGGCGTGTGGAGGAGCTGCCAGTGCAATGACGGGTAAGGGTGCACGCGAGTCGATCGTTGGCGTGTGCCTGGAGGGCGAGACAAGTGCGTCGAATCGAACAGCGCTAGGCATAGTGATCGTTCCATACGCGCTAGCTCCAGCTCCCACATCGCTAACGAGTTCGAGTTCGAGTGGAGTTTCGACTGCTGCTGGACAGAAGAGCGGGATCGGACGAACTCAGTGCGCAGCGGAGGTCTGCAGCGCTGGCGCTCGTGGCGGGCTACTGGCTCCTGGACGTGGTGCTAACAGCAGCAGCAGTAGTTGTACGCCCACAGTGGGCACAGCAACCACACCTGGTGAAGGCAATGGTGGAAGAGGGGCGACGGCGGTGGTCTCCACATCAGAGAGCGCGGCATCAACGGCAGTGACCTCCACAGAGGCGAGATTCCGCGACGGTGGTGGCGGTGGCAGTAGCAGTGATTGTGATGGCAACGGTGGTGGTGTCGGTGTCGGCGGCGGCACTTCAACATTCTCGGTGGCTGATCTGCGACGCGCTATCGTCAAGCAGCTACCGTCGGTTCCTGCTCGCGTTCAGTTTCTGACTCGGCAAGGGTACGTGTTTATAAGCCCATTGCATGCGCAATGACGTAATTTGTATCATAAACGCACCCCACACAGCCACCTGGGCATGGTCGTGAGGGGGTGTTGAACAGTGCATTGCTGATCCCAGCGAGCGTACTCACATGCATTGCTCATACCTTCCATATTTGGCAATGGGCAATAGGCTTATTGATGTGTAGACAGTAGATATTATACTACAGTTGCGCTCGGTGAAATCCGACCCAAAGTGCAAAACTGACGCCCTGGACCAGTTCCGATTACATCACTGTGCTGGTGTATGTGTACGACCAGCCGCATTCGTACCACTTCCAGGGTGTCGAGGGCTGTGCAAGTTGAGGGCAACAAGATATGCACTTTGGGTCGGATTTCACCGAGCACAACTACACTACAGCCAACCTTGCCGATATCAGCCCTCGCTAGTATTGGCGAGTTGTCGCTATTCGTCGGGTTGACAGTATTCAGTCAACTGGTCCCTATTGTAGGTCAGACGATTGTGTCGGTATTCATGAGTTGTCCTCTCTTGAGGTCGGCATTCACGAGGTTGACTGTGGATAGAAAAGAGATTTGCTAGAAAGTCGACGCGGAGACGAAACTGACGACTCCACTGATGATTGTCTTTTGAAAGCGTTATGGAACAGGCCCGTCGCACCGACTTAAGGAGGTGGGGCGGCCATGGAAAAATTGAAGCCAATTGCAAGCATTTCCGGGCATTTTGGTGCCATTCAGTGTAACTACAATGAAAGACTTTTTGATTCTGCAACAAACCAAGAAGACGCTTCGATCGGGGACAAGGATTCTTCATTACCCTCCCCCGGGAAAAATATTCAAAAATTGAAGCCAATTGCAAGCATTTCCTGGCATTTGGTGCCATTTCAGTGTAACTGCAATTAGAGACTTTTTGATTCTGCAACAAACCACGATCGGTGGACAAGGATTCTTTGCACTGAGCTGGTGCTTGTGTGCTCCAAAAAGCCAAAAAAAGTGGGGCGGCCTCAGCCGCCCCAGCCGCCCCGGCTGTGACGGCCTTGTGGAAATACAACTTGAACCTGATACAACTTTAATGTACTGTGAGTGTGTCATACTGGCCAACCCTCCCGTTTTTCCCGGGAAAATCCCGGAAAATCAACACTCCTCCCGGGGTCCAGGGGATTTCAAGCAAACTCCAGGAAAAACCAAAGTTTTGTCTGATACAGGATTTTCCTGAAAACTCCATGGTTTCTCCCCGAATGTCCCGGTTTTTTGAACTTTTTTCAAAGGTATGTACGGTGCTCATTCGCAGTTCGAACTGTGCACAGCACTTTGAAGACCTGACAATGCAAGATCTGCACTGACAAAGTGACAGGCGGGCGCCGACTGATCAAACTGCACTACAGGGTCGATCTGTGCTGTACGCACAGCTGCAGAGTCGAACGTTTTTTGGCGGGAAAAGCTCTTTTTCACTTGTTTTGTGCCATCCAGGGATTTTGAGAGAAATCCAGGGATTCTGCATGTCTTGTCAAGGGATTGAGATTGTGGTGGTTGGTCAGTATGGTGTGTCATGTGTAATACTGTAGGCTCAATAATTATGAGACATGAGCTTGTCTGTGGACTTACAGGGTCGTCTCTGTCACACACGTGTGTGTGCATGTGCACATGTACGTACGCACCTGTGCACATGCACACACGCATGCACGCGCACACCTCGCCACACCTCGGACCTGCCCATCGCGGACGCGATGATAGCGAACGGCTACATTAGACATAGCGACTTGTGCCTGCACGCGCACACACACGCTCTTTATCTCCGATACTCTTTCCCTTTCTTCATTGCATTTGCTCTCGCATGTGTGTGTACGCGTACTGTGACTGCACAGGTGGCCCATCACCGCTGAACAAGAGGGCATAGTCCCTATCGAAGCTGTGCTCACGCAAGATGGCCATGTTCGCCTGAGGAGCTCTCCGAGTGAGATGATCCACTTTGTCTGACCTGCTCTGGCCTGCTATGTTCATTGTCTTTGTTGTGCATGTTCGGTGTCGTTAATCTGTCGTGTTCCGTCGTATGATGAGACTGCCACTTTGCGAGCACATGCAGTTGAAGTTGTTACGGAATCACAGCCATTCCGTACCCCGGGACGCAGGACACAAAGGACAAGACTTGTTTGTTACATTATTTATATTGACAAGACGGAAAAGCAAACTGCTCTGACAGAGACGAACAAGAAGACTGACAAAAGGACTCTCGACTACAAAATCGCACATGCTCATATCACACATGCACGCGACTAGACGCGACAGTTTGGGGAATGCCATCACACAGGAAAACAACACATCATTTCACAACAAAGTTCTGCTTGCTGAGTTCTGCTGCTCTCCGAATGGTCTGCTTCGGGAATTTTACTGTATTCTGTTGTGACGTTGTTGTCTTCTTTCTCCCTCAGCTGAACTTCAGCGGATTGGCATCATCATGGAGAACAATGGCGGCGCTGCCTTGGGTTACGTGGAGACTTCGTACTGGGGAACAATTCGGGAGCTGCGCAGTGTCATCTTTGACCATGTAAGGGCATTGGAAAAGAAACAACTACTTTTTAACAAATCATGTAGTAAGCGCCGAGGCGACGGCAGTTTCAATATTGTGAACAAAAGGACAAACTGGATCGACTGTGTAACCATGGTAACAGATCAGTTGTATGATTTTTGGCATACTGTATTTTCCGGAGTATAAGTCGCACTTCAAACACTAGTAATTCACCCGAAAAAAAGTCGGCGCGGCTTAAACGACGATGGTCAGATGAACTGCAAAGTACAGGGTAGATGCCTGCATTGTGTAACAAGAAATCTGGGCGCGGCTAGTGCGGCTTATGCTCCAGTGCGGCTTACACTCGGGAGAATACGACATTAAAAAAACAAACAGATTTATGATAGTATGTACTGCAACATTGTTGCCTGATGATTGCGAAAGCATGAAACTTTAAGTCGCAGCAAAACAAGCCTTGATTGTCCCTGTTCTGTTCTGTGTATTCTGCTCTGCCTCCGCCGCGGTGGTGTTGAGCACTGTCAGCACACTGGGTGCATCCTCCGGTCCATAGTATGTACTGTGCACACTTAATCCATTATGTTGGCCTTCTGTGTAGTACATCACTTGTAGAGGTTGTGCGATTACGTTATCACTTGAGATGAAGCCGCGGCACAGCGCTGCACCGGCGCTAGCGCTAACGACTCTCGCTGCATACACAGCGCCAATACGAGAATCCTCTGGCTGGGACGTAGCGCTTGCATGCCCTGCAGAGGTTATGCGATTGCATCGTCAGTTGGAAATCCTTTGGCTAAGTCGTCGTGGCACGGCGCTGCACTAGCGACTCGCGCTGCGTACACAGCACCCGTAAGCGGTTCCGCCGACTTGCCGCCATGACGTCATCCACGTAACCCCCATGACATCATCCGCGTAACCTCCATGGTCGTTGAGCTCACCACCCCGTGTCTTGCTTCTTAACCACTGTGTGTGTGTGTGCAGCTGGGCAACTCCTCTGGGCTGCTGGACAGCGGCTTCACATTCGTGGACGGAAATGGTTGGCCGATTACCAGCAGTCAGGAGAGCGGCCTACTCGTGGTCAACCTGCTGCGAGACGGCAGCGTGCGCATTCGTACGTTTGCACCGCCTTTGGACTCGACTTTGAATTCGACGTTGGATTCGATGTCCTCGCACGCCGAGAAGAATACATCACCAGCAGTGGGTGCGAAATCTCCCGCGGTGGAATATGTTCCATCGTCATCGTCGCCGCAGACGAGCTTGTCGAGTATGTCGCCAGCTAAGAGCTCATCAGGTATGGGATGTGACCTGTCTGGTGGTGTGGGAGAACTGTTAGAAGGATGTGTTTGTGTGTGTGTGTGTGTATGTGTGTGTGTGTGCGTGCGTACGTGCGTGTGTGCACGCGCGTGCATGTGTGTGTGTGTGCGTGCGTATGTGCGTGTATGTGTGCTTGCGTGTGTGCATGTACTTATACACATGTGGGTATGTGTATTGGTGTGTATGTGTACTAATGGTCTACGTTTGTCTATGAATAGGATGATGCTGCTGATACGCTATTGATACATGCACATGTATTTACAAAGTCGAGCTATGCACGGCGCCCGGGGGAGCTTGCCGACGAATTAAAAAATGTAATTTGCATTGTTGTGTTTGTCTCTCTCTTTTGTGTGTGTGTGTGTGTGTGTGTGTGCATGTGTGTGTGTGTGTGCACATGTGTGTGTGTGTGCACGTGTGTGCACGGGCGTGCATGTGTGTGCATGTGTGTGTGTGGGTGGGTGCACGGGCATGCATGTGTGTGTGTGTGGCTGTGTGCGTACATGCATGCGTATGTGCACGTGTATTCTACGCACAGTTCCATCGTGGCCTGAACCGTCATTACGTCCCTGGAAGTTCAATCCTGCTGCATCACAGTAAGAACAACAATTTTCTGTTTTTTTTTCTTCTAAAAATAATCTTATCACTCTGACTCTGTAGCTCAATGTGTCCATGTGCTGGTACTCTAGTTTCAGAATTTTTAGGTGCTCAATACATTTTCGGTACGAGGGCAAAAGGCCAGGTTAGGTGCACTGAACTTTTAGCTACACGAATAGGGCTTGAAAGTGATGACGTCAAAAACGGCCAGGGAGTAGTAAGTTGACATCAGATTTCTATTTTGGATCCACTAAGGTGTGACTTCGCTATTGCCTCAGTATGTGGGCGCATAGCAACCCACTCATGTCGTATGCAGGTGTGACTTTTACTTCGCCACCAGTTGTCACCCCGCCCCCAGTAGCCAAATCAGTCAGTGACATCACCTTGCTGTGAGTAAGACCGCTTGAAATGTGCTTGGATCCATACAAAAACTGGATCCAGGTGGATCCAGTTTTTGAATTTTTGAAATTGTTGCTATGCTGTGACGTAGTACTTTCAAGCCCTATTCCAATACCGTAAGATACCGTTGATCCGCCCCCACGCCATGTCGCTTCCCAGCTGGTTTTTCGGCAGGGGGCGGGAATTAGAGCAAGGCAGTGAAGCGCAGTACGGTGTACAACAACGTGGAGGATCAGACTCGATGTGCAGGATTGTGCACATTTTCATCCTGGATTGGCACGTATTGTGTACAGCAGTGCAAGCGTCGGTTCAACATCGTATTTCGTTGTATACGCCGAAATCGCTTCACAGGTAGAAAATCGACAGGGGGCGGGAATTAGAGAGGGGGCGGATCAACCGTACTTTACGGTACTATAAAGCTTGCAACTGCATGTATTTCTGTAACTATTTTATCCATGGTTGGGTCACGTTCAGCGGCCTTTTGGATATGCTTATAGACACTTGCATTTCAGTATGGTATTTGTCGTGTAACGCTGCTCCGGAATCCTGTGTGTGTGTGTGTGTGCGTGTGTGTGCGTGTGTTCACGTGTGCGTGGGTGTTTTTTATTTATCTTTTTACAAAGACCGCTAAAAATGCCAAACATGAGATGATGCAGTGTGTGTGCGTGTGTGTGCGCATGCGTGCGTGCATGTGCGTGTGTGCGCGCATATGTACGTGTGTATGCGTGTGTGCGTGTGTGTGTGTGTATGTTCTTGTTGCAGTAAAGTGCTGGGAGAGGAAAAGACTGTGCCAGAATCCAGTGTTAGCAGTATGTCTCCAAAACCGCCGACGACAATGCCGGATGATGGCGGACAAAGTCCTGCCACGCCAACCGAGGGTGTGCCAGTATTGCCACGGACCCGTTCGCAAGCTGCTGGCGAAATTCTGCCACTGCCAAAGTGAGTCCTTCATTACGGTGAAAACTTAAAAGATACTGCATTGCAGTGTTGCCCAATGCTGTAGCCAGCAAGCTCTTTCGGCCATCTAGGCCTCATCAGTACAGCTACGAGTATTGCACTGGGATACAGTCAACTTTGCGCATAACGACACTATCGGCGGGGCATCAGAGAAGTGTTGTTATTCGCGAAGTGTCCTTATAGTTATACCCGGAAGTCCAATGATTTGTACTGTAAAACATGTAATTTTCGGTGTAAGTTTAATTTCGGTAATTTCGGTAGAGAAACCAGGCACCTAAATTTAGATTACACCTATAAAAAGGCACTGGAGTATGCACTGACAGGCTGTATGTGAAGGGAACGCTGGCCACCTAATTCTACATTACACCTGAAACCTGGCAGGTTTCTGGCGCCGACATTTTTAATGCACCTAAAATTACATGTTACACAGTATACCGGTAGACGGGGCATTGCTCTGGGCATGGGCATGCTGTCGTTATTCGCGAATTGCCGTTCCATCCGCAGTCGTTATTAGCGAAGTCGACTGGATATAACGGGCCGGCCGGAAACGGTCCGGTCGGTCGGGTCTGCACTGACTTTGTGGCCACCAGCGGATGTTTACTGCTGGGGAGGTTTATTTTTTTATAATTTTTTTAAGGAACACTAGTATTACGACTGACTGTAGACAAATTGCATGATAGTGAATGAAACACGTAAAATGTTTGGCACCTATGAAATCAGGGGATGGCCCATGCCTGGTAAAAAAATCAACGAGGAGCTACATACATGTACATGTCGATAATAATTATACTCCGATGGTTAAATAATGAGAAACTGCTGAGGAGGTTATTATAGATGTGTACCCGCTATACCACACACACAAAGTACAGTCTGACCTCGCTTAACCCCACACATCCGTTTTCCACAAAAATATCCGGATAGGCGAGGGAACCGGATATTTGAACGCGCATACTGTATGCATGCATGGCATATGCTGTGAATCGGTAACCGATGATTTTCTTCCGGATGGCGAGGGATCCAGATAAAAGAGGACCGGATAAGCGAGGTCTGACTGTATGAAAGACGATGGTGGTATGGACGGTCCAGGTGAAAGCTACTTCCGTCAGTCCTGTATGAACTGTAAAACAGTGAACTTCCCGTTACAACCAATCCTTCAAACTCTCGAGCAAGATATCTGAACTGTGCAAGTCTAGTTCTATTTTTTGTTGCGCTGTTGCAAACTTTAAAACCTTAAACGGGGCCGTAGCACAACACTGCGTCGCTTTGGCCAGAAACCTGTTGGAATTAGCGGGGGGATTTGACATGTGCTTTATTTCACATGACCAGCAGCAGTCGTTTCAACGGCCGTGTCGATCCACACTGTCACTTCATTTTCTAGTGAATCACTCGCTGTGAAACGTGCAAGTGCCGGTCATGTGAATCACTCGCTGTGAAACGTGCAAGTGCCGGTCATGTGAATCACTCGCTGTGAAACGTGCAAGTGCCGGTCATGTGAATCACTCGCTGTGAAACGTGCAAGTGCCGGTCATGTGAATCACTCGCTGTGAAACGTGCAAGTGCCGGTCATGTGAATCACTCGCTGTGAAACGTGCAAGTGCCGGTCATGTGAATCACTCGCTGTGAAACGTGCAAGTGCCGGTCATGTGAATCACTCGCTGTGAAACGTGCAAGTGCCGGTCATGTGAATCACTCGCTGTGAAACGTGCAAGTGCCGGTCATGTGAATCACTCGCTGTGAAACGTGCAAGTGCCGGTCATGTGAATCACTCGCTGTGAAACGTGCAAGTGCCGGTCATGTGATTCACTCGCTGTGAAACGTGCAAGTGCCGGTCATGTGATTCACTCGCTGTGAAACGTGCAAGTGCCGGTCATGTGATTCACTCGCTGTGAAACGTGCAAGTGCCGGTCATGTGAATCACTCGCTGTGAAACGTGCAAGTGCCGGTCATGTGAGTCACTCGCTGTGAAACGTGCAAGTGCCGGTCATGTGAGTCACTCGCTGTGAAACGTGCAAGTGCCGGTCATGTGAGTCACTCGCTGTGAAACGTGCAAGTGCCGGTCATGTGAGTCACTCGCTGTGAAACGTGCAAGTGCCGGTCATGTGAATCACTCGCTGTGAAACGTGCAAGTGCCGGTCATGTGAATCACTCGCTGTGAAACGTGCAAGTGCCGGTCATGTGAATCACTCGCTGTGAAACGTGCAAGTGCCGGTCATGTGAATCACTCGCTGTGAAACGTGCAAGTGCCGGTCATGTGAATCACTCGCTGTGAAACGTGCAAGTGCCGGTCATGTGAATCACTCGCTGTGAAACGTGCAAGTGCCGGTCATGTGAATCACTCGCTGTGAAACGTGCAAGTGCCGGTCATGTGAATCACTCGCTGTGAAACGTGCAAGTGCCGGTCATGTGAATCACTCGCTGTGAAACGTGCAAGTGCCGGTCATGTGAATCACTCGCTGTGAAACGTGCAAGTGCCGGTCATGTGAATCACTCGCTGTGAAACGTGCAAGTGCCGGTCATGTGAATCACTCGCTGTGAAACGTGCAAGTGCCGGTCATGTGAATCGATGAGTGCCGACATGCACAATGTACAGTAGATATTGGTTATAACGTGCCCTTCTGATTTTTCACATTTTATCACTATAACCGGTATATCACTACAGGCGATTTTCAACTGCGCTCATCTTACATACACATTATACACGTGTGGGTACTCGATCGCGCTAATGTAGCGTTCTGATACAGGATTCATGCTGCTGCACCTTCCCCAGTCTAGAGTGAAGAACTTCTTGGCCCAAAGGCATCATCCGGGAAACATCAGACCAGAATACACTATGAAAACACACATGTGGCTCCAAGTCGAGACATCAATGCCTCACACTCGTGTGTTGCTATCACTATAGACGATATTTTTTCCTCACAAAGAGGTGTTTTGAATGGTGATTCTGTATCCTTATACAGTGTAGCCGATTTATCGCTATATACGATATATTGGTTATAATGATAATTTGAGTGGCTTTTTCTGGTTTTGCTTTTGATATTTTCATTTTGTATCAATATAGCCGGTTTATCACTATGTCCGATGACTTTATAACCGATATCCACTGTACAGACAAAGGGTAAGAAACTAAAAAAGAAAAAAAGAAAAAAAAGAGGTCGTAGTGCAACACGGCGTCGCTTTGGGCTATTTGTCCACAAACCCGTTGGAATCATTGGTGGATTTTGACCTTTGCTTTATTTGACATGACCAGCGGCTATAATGGCCCGCAATGGCGACGCGCCCGCCGCCCATCATCGCCCACACGATCCTTGCTGTCGCCGCTAGTGCCGGTTCAGCCGCTAGTGCCGGTTCAGCCGCTAGTGCCGGTTCAGCCGCTAGTGCAGCGCGGGATATCGTCTCCGGCGCGGCTGAGCGATCACGGGAGTGGGGACGACTCTTCCGCCGTCAGTTTGACCGACAGCACGGGGCCTCCCGAGCCAACGGTTGGCGGCAAGCACTTCTTCATTAGCTACGTACGTGCCGAGGGCACACGACAAGCCACGCAGTTGAAGCGTCTGCTGATAGACCGGGGCTATTCGGTGTATTTGGTAAGTTTTTCTAAGTTTGTACTTTGCAGGCAGACGACTGTCTGTTTGTTTTTGCCCGTTTGGGCTGTTTTTAGTTCCTTGCAGGCTATGTGTGTGTGTGTGTGTGTGTGTGTGTGTGTGTGTGTGTGTGTGTGCGCGTGCGTGTGTGCATGTATGCGTGTGTGTGTGTGTGCGTGCGTGCGTGTGTGTGTGTGTGTGTGTGTGTGTGTGTGTGTGTGTGTGTGTGTGTGTGTGTGTGTGTGTGTGTGTGTGTGTGTGTGTGTGTGTGTGTGTGTGTGTGTGTGCGTGTGTGCATGCCTGCATGCGTGATCATATTAAAATTGAATATTGTGTGTGTGCGTGTGTGCATGCGTGATCATATTAAAATTTAACAAGGGAGCTTGGAAGCTCAGGGCCCTACTATGTTGTAATTGTAACACTACGCTATGCTTTTTTGCCTAGCTCATCATGCACATTATGAGAACTGATGGAATTCTTTTTTCCATTGGTTGGCTATAGTGTTTTACGTCGACCATGCCGGCTACAATGCCCAACCATACTACAACGAACTGATTGGCTACATCATTGTATTGCAAAAAGTTTCCATCTGTTCGAATAACATGCATGATGAGCTAGGCAAAAAAAGCATAGCGTAGGGCCCTGAGCGAAAGAAATATACGTTCTCTTTGCATTCGAGGGTAAAACGACACCGTCTACCACCTTGATGACCTAGGCAAAAAAAGCATAGGGATGTTATAAATTTTTCATTTCTCCTATTTTTCAAGACATAACCTAGGATTCGAACCCGCTCTATCACCCTGCATGCATTCCCCGGACACACTTCGCATACATACTCTTTCTTCCAAGTTGCAAGTTGCTTCACGTTATGATCTTGCATTTGAAAGCCCTATTTGATTATTGTGGCCAGCTGTCTTCGAAGGTACGGTACGGGACAGGTACGGGATAGCGCCAGGCATGCCGACGGCACAAACAAACGTCAAATTAAAGCTGTGTGGACCCTGGCTAGCGCCAGACGTGACTGAAGTAACGTCTTTTGCATAGCTACGGGAATTAAAATTAAATTAAATGTATTACATTGTCAGTGTGACTGTGTTCACGACTGCTGTCACTCCTCTCCTTTCCCCTCCTCTCCACTCCTTTGTGCAGGATGTGTGTGAAATCAAAGGGGGTCATGACTGGCAGGACTCCATCTCTAGGGGCATCAACGACTGCAGTGTGTTCCTTCCCTTGGTGACTCCGCAGTACGGAGAGACGCGATGGACGAACCGAGAGGTGAGGCGTGTGTGTGTGTGTGTGTGGGGGGGGGGGGTAGGTGTGTGTACGTGTGTGTGCACGTGCGTGTGTGTTAGGGAGCATCTCATAAGTTCGCATTTTGTTTCTAAACGTAACGCATTTCGAAACGGGGGTAGGGGGGTTGCGCCCATTTCGGATAGAAAAATGACAGTTCGCACATTTTCTGGATGTGTACGTGTGCAATACAGTGCTGTGCTTGTGCTAGACCGCTTCAGACAGCAGGGTACGGGTGTGTTTTAGGTGTAGATCTAACCCTTGCACTACGCATGCAGGCTACTCAGAGGTGTCAAATGTCACACCAGCCTGATCAAACCGTGTACCTGCCACCTGGCCAGCTTTGACAGTACAGTCGTTGTGGAGTAACTCTGTTTATGTGTGTGTACATGTCATTGATTGAACTAAGACTGTAACCAATAGTTACTTGTACTCAGTAGATGTGGTACATGTACTAGTAGTACTGTATGTCATTCACTTCGCACGGCTGTTCGCGCACGGACATCTAACAATATGGCGTCGTTCGGTGCGATTTACGTAACGCGGTACAAACCTCATGAATACGATGGGAGTTTGCGTTTTGGGATGAAACTCATGTCACTCTCCGTGTGGTTCCACGATTTCGCGAGTCAAACCAGGATTTATTATTTGAAAGCGCTCGAGCGAGATACTCAATATCCAGACAATTTGAGAGAGAAGGAAGGTAAAAGTAACTCCTGCCGTGGTCAACCAGCATCCTGACCTTTTCGAACCTCTCCAAGCTATCCCTGGTAGTCTGGATATTGACGCACGCACTGATTTTCAGCTTCTCCTCGCCGGGATCACGGGTGCAACTTTCAAATTTGCCGATATGCACTCGAACAAACGCACAATTGGATCTACATCACAATTTCGGGGCTATTTGTGTGCTTGCTGCCTTTTTCAGCAATACCCCACATGTGTACTGGGCAGT